GTAAAAATACCGAAAATACCCATATTTTTGGGGTAAATACCGGTAAAAATACCGCCAGAAAATCGGGCGGTTTACCGGTAATTCGGTATACCGGTATACCGGTATTGCATTCCCTAGTAATAATAAACTCAAATAGTATCAAATGAATGTTTCATATAATATAAATATGAAATATAAAAAATAAAGTCGAATATAAATTGCAATAATTCTTAAGGTTGTGATAGGAAAATATGACAAATATGGTTATAATAAATAACTTTAATAGTAATTTTAACGATAAATTATTATTTCGACGATTTTTCATAAATTAGCAATATGATATTTTCAGCCCCTAAGTAATGTGTACAACCAAGGAGAATCTAATATCGCTGTCGTAAGTGATTTACAAGAAGGACACGTTGCGCACTCGAATTGGATACCTCATTCATCAAATGATCATCCATACGGTATAAATAGTAAAAGTATTTATAAATATCTTAAATTTATATTATGATTACTCTTTTATCCTCAGATATTGATGGGAGAGCCTTTAATCATCAGAATAGTTTTCAGTCGATAGCTTCCCAGTATGTGGACCCTCAAGCAGACAAAGTTCGGCAAAATCTCGCTTACAGAGAACCTTCCGAGGTTTATCGAAATCATCCTGGCGGAGGTGGAGTGGATGTGTGGCAACTAGGTGATTTTTTAAATGACATATAAAACTTAATAAAGTTAAATTATTGTTCATAAATTTTATTATATGTATGATTTTATTAAGCATTTTATGTTATGACTTTTAATTTTTTGTTTTTAGAGCATTTGCAACAAAAACAAGTAGGACAACAGAACCCATGGTTAGCCAACAGACAACAGTCTATCCTTATTCCCACTCTAAATGACTTGCCAAAACAGAACCAGCCATCTCAATGGCACCAAGAGTGGATCCAGCAAAATGGACAGGTGCCTATACCACCGGATGTAACTGCACATATAACTGGTAAAAAGGTAAATCTTTTTTACTTGGGTTGTATATGTTATATGTGGATTCATATAATATATAATGCAATTATAAATATTTTTAAATTCATATTTAAGGAACCACATTTAATTGCTAGTCCAGATAGATCTGAAGCCAAAACAACAGAATCAAAGCATATGTCACATAAACATGAAGAAAATAAGGAAGAATATGTTGATATAGAAGAACAACAAAAACAACCGAAAAAAGTTGAAAGCATACATAAAATTGTGCCAGCTTCTCATGATCATGAAGATTCTGACAAGAAGGGTTCCAATCCAGAGCACTCACCATGGGCTGATGAGCTAGATGGCGAAGCAGAAAGGCCTGGAGGGGCAGTATTATCATTGACTTTAGGTAAGAAAATGCGCAAACTTATTGAATTATAAAGAAAATTAATTACAAAGGTATTAGAAATCGATAGATGATAGAGTCAATCAATAAATGCACTTATATAAATATATGATTATTGTTAATGATAATTTTAGGTGTATGTATAACTGCTGCATTAGCTGTTCTAATTGGTTGTAGACTTAGATTAGTCAAAAGAAGAGTTCGAAGACATGGAAAATCAGCACATGCTCATGATCCAGATTATCTTGTTAATGGGATGTATTTATAAAATCTCAAGAAGCCTATGTAAGAATTGTTAATGGTACTGTATCATTTTATATTCTAAATTATTTTAATTTGTTGATCTAGTAAATAAAATTATTAATTAACACTATACCATATCATTTTCAACAATTTATTACAGAACTTTTTTACATTTATTTCAATGTATTATTATTCTTTATAATACAAATATATACATAAATTTTATATATTATCCAATTTCTAAAATCTACCACTCCTTTTCCTTCCTGTATATTTTGAATCCATTCGTGTTGGTTTACCTTGCCTACGTCTCCTTTCCTTTTTTTCTAAGATCCATTCTCTTGACTTTTTCACTGGTTTACCTCTCATTTTGCGTAATTGTTCTTGTTTTCTTCTAGCATAAGATACACAATTAGAATCACCATTTTCTTCAGTTCCTAATGCTTGTGGCATAGACATTGAACCACCAGTCATAAGCACTAAAAAGTATTTTTTTGCTTTTGAAGAATTTGGGTAATCTACTAATAAACCGCCATAGAAACCAGCCTGTAGTGCAATAGAAATTATATATTAGTATATTTATCAAATTTTAATTTAATGAAGAAATAATTACTTTCATGGCCTGCGTTGTCAATAATTCAACTTGATTTGCATTTTCAGGATAAAATTGAAATACAGCCCTCGCCTGCCTTGTTAAACATGCATATAGAGATTCAAAAAATCTGCAAAACATTATAATTAGTATCTACTACAGTAAAAATCTACTTCAATTTGAAGTATTACTTTTTGAGCCTTTGTGCAGGATTATGACTTTTGTGGTCTGCATTACATAGCCACTGCAGAGCAGATATTGAAACAGCACCATCAAAAGATCCTGCTCTAAACGGACATCCTTGTCCCATGTCAGAAAGCAAAACATCACCACATTCCAATTCACGCTCTACAGCAATATCTATAAAAGAAATCATTTTCAAACTTTCAACTACAAAGATTTTAAATAAAAAGAATCCTACCTAACATAGCAGGTGCAATATCCATTCCTACCCAAATGTGGCCTTGCTCTTCAAGTACTTCTCCAGATAATCCAGATCCACAACCTATGTCTAATAATAAGCATGGCTCATCATCGGGCAATGTCAATAATTCTATAGCTCGCTCTGACATTTGAGTCTGAATTTCAATAATTCTGGAACTATTAAAAGAATTATAATTATAATAATTATAAATCAGTAAAAATATAGCAATTAACTATGTCAAGTGAGAAAGGGATAGAGAAATATATTGACACTATTCCTAGGACTTACTTTTGTGTATATTTCTTTGCCTCTTCTTCATTGTAGTACTGTAAGCAAAAATATAAATATTATAATAATACAAATCAATCATTTTATGCTAATTTTTAAATTAAATAAAATTTTCAAGCAAATGAGAACTCAATTATACTTACTACTTCTGGAGGTGCCAAATGTTCTGGACGTTTAGACATATTTATTCATATAATAAATAAGATAATAAATTATTAATAATTTTATTTAATTAAGTTTTGAACAAATAATAAATGTTTACTATTAAGGGTCTGTTCGCAGTGAGCAGTTTGTGACAGTCCACAACTCTTCCAAACTCATTCTGATTTGTTACACTGCGCATGCGCCATCTCATGACAGTTTCCAACGGTTTGACAAGACGGTTTACATCGAACGCGACGAAACTGCCGAGAGTTCATTCGCATGTCTTCGGTATAGTTCGTTTCGTGTTTCTGTTTATTTGCTCAGTTTGAGTAAATGAAATGTTTAATGTGTTTTATGGAGAGAATTTAACATAATGAGTGACAACGAGTTTTTAACTTCCCGTAGGGTAAGTTATAGTAATCGCAAAAAAATCGAAAATGAAAATTTTTGCATTTCTCGACGTTTCAAAACCTTCTGAACATTTTGGCATACCTTAGAAAAAATGGATGTATGTGTGTGTGTGTGTGTGTGTGTGTGTGTATGTATGTATGTATGTATGTATGTATGTATGTATGTATGTATGTATGTGTGTGTATGTATGTGCGGATACAAATTTTCGTCGACGATTTCGGGAACACGGATCAACCGATTTGAATAATTCAAAAAACATTCGATTCGCATTGATAAGGAGACGTGCTGATTAGTTTTTGGCAAAGGCAGGTCTAGCCGTTCCGAAGATACGGGGCAAAAAGTGCCAAGAACGGTACCTCCGTTTTTAAGAGAACGGAGCGTCCGATTTGAATAATTCAAAAAACATTTTACTTGTATTGACAAGATGTAGAATTAATCAAATTTTCATGGAGGCACGTCTAGCGGTTTCGGAGATCTAATGAAAAAAGTAAAAAATAATGCCATTCGGCGGTTAAAAATTATCATTAGACATATGCACATCAAATTATCAGATATTTTATAGAGATTTTAACAATAAGTATATTTTTTTTTTACATTTTTATGGGTTCCGTACCAATGCTTATGCGTTTGACGGCGGCGCGGCACATGCGCGCTTTGACATTTCGTCTCTATGCAGTTCAAGCAGTGCGATTGCTTTGAAAAAAAGTTCAGAATTTCCAAAATATGTCAAAATGAAAAAAACATTTTTTTCAAAAAAATTTTTTGTATCCAAAAAAAAAATTTTTTTCAAAAAAAAATTTTTTTTCATATAATTTTTTTTTTCAAAAAAAAGTAATTTTTTGTCAAATTTGTAGTTTCTCAAATCTATTTTTCTTTAATTAAATTTTTTTCAAAAATGTTAATCGTTTTTAAAAAAATAATAATTTTTGGTACGGGAAGTTCCAGCAATTTGCCTTAAGGCACGATGCCCTAATTGCCTTAAGACAGAATTCCACTTACAGCTAGTTTTATGATTTTTTGCAGAACGATGAGGAGGAGTTAGATTTATTAGAGTTTGTTCAAGTTACAAAAAATGAAGAATATCTTGGTAAGTATCAGTTATTATAATTAAAAGAGGTTAATATAATATAATATTCCATAAGTGCAATTTAATCATTTTATAGTTTTATTTTGACAGAAAAAGTGGTGCCATTGTTTGATGACATACAATTTCTCGAGCACTTCAGAATAAGCAAAACAACGTGTTCTAATATATCAGAAATATATGAAGATAGTAAATATTATAACAAAATTAAATATGGACCATTCGGAAAAATCTGTGCATTTAATCAGGTAAAAAATGTACTATAATTGACAAACCAGTAAAATCATAATTAATTACATATTATTTTAGATACTAATATTTTTATGGTTTGCGGGACACCAAACATCCAGCTACAGGGATGTCAGTGATCGTTTAATATAACGTTAAGTACTTTACATGGAATAGTGCAAAGGGTTGCTTTCTTTTTAAGCAATTTATCCCCAAAATTTATTAAATGGCCGAGTGATGAGGAAAAGTTGGTGATTGCCGCAGAATTTGCTAAAAATGATTTTCTAAATGTAATTGGTGCAATTGACGGTTGCCACATTCGAATAGATAAACCGATAGAGGATCCAAATTCATATATGAACCGAAAAGGATTTTATTCAATTCATGTACTGCTTTTTATCTACTTGCATCTATATGTGTTTTACAGTATTCCAGTTTACAATTATATGTATTTTACAGATTCAGGCAGTTTGTGATGACCAAAAGAAAATTATAGATGTGTGCATTGGAAATCCTGGTTCTGTTCATGATGCCAGAATATTTCGAAAATCAAAATTGGGCTCAAATTTAATTCAAAAATGTGGACATTTTATTTTATTAGGAGATAATGGCTACCCACTAAATGCAAATTTGATGACACCTTATAAAAATACTCATGGCCTTACAGTAATTCAGAAAAATTTTAATAAAAAACTCAGCAGTAATCGAATTAAAATTGAGCATACATTTGGCATGCTAAAACAAAAGTTCAAACAACTATATCATTTAAAACTAAGAAATATAACTCTTATTTCTCACTTTATAAGAGCTTGCTGCGTTCTATATAATATGAGTCTCACTGATGAATTTGAATATTTGCAAATGGAAGATGAAAATAATGAGACATCAGATGATGTGGCAGATTCTGATCCTTATTCAACAGATGCTTCAATATTACGGGATCAAATTGCAGCTAATTTACCATTATAGGCCTAATTAGGCAAAACCTACATTATTTATGTATTCATTAATTTATTCATAAGCACGTCTTAATAATAATAATAAATATTATTTCATGCTCTTGTCAAGTACTTATAATGTATTATTCTGTGAATGTTCTGTATTGAAAAAAAATTAAATGAATTAATAAATTAAAGTCAGGCGTTTATATTGGATAATGATTTATTTATATTTATTGCAAATTTATGAATATTATTTTATTTTAGAGCACTCCATATTTTTGTTTTAAAATTGCCAATTTTTCTTCTTCTATTTGTATTATTCTTTCTTGAAACCTCAACCGGTCTTCTCTCATTTTCTCTAAAATACTTTGCCTTCTACGGCGCTGCCTCCTCCTTGAAGTTTCAATAATTTCTCTAACTTCATGTGCACTTTCATCCCGCGCTTGTTGGTTGTGTGGAATGTTTTCTATTTCTTGTACATCATTTGTTTCCAGTATGCAGACTGGATTTATATTGTGGCTATTGCCATATATTTCATCCAACTCTTCTGCATACTGGAAACTGAAATTTCCTTCCCCTATTAGACATAATTGTTAATATGTATAAAATTATTTTATATATTTATATCATTATTCGTACCAGTAGCTCGACTGTCGACATATTTCTTATAATTACGTTGCAGCACTCTCCAACGATTCTCAATGTTGCCTTCCGTAAACGTAGTTCCAAATTTATTATTCATGTCAGCTTTTATTACAATCCACATTGCCTTGATTGTTCTTATTTCTATTGACCCAACATTCGGTTTATATTTTTTAAAACATTGTATTAAAAATGCTGTTCTCTCATTAGACCAAACAGCATCTTGAACACCTACGGCTCCATCAGGAAATATTAAAAATTCTTCTAGTTCTATAAAATAATATATATTTAGTAAAATGAGAAATTAATAAGCACTAACAATTTATTATTATAATTATATATATATATATATATATATATATATATATATATATATATAATATGACTTTGAAATATGTTTATAAAAGAAAAATACATGTAAATTAAAAAATATTTTAAAAAATTAAATTAAAGAAGATTTTGCATTTACTTTCTTTCTTTTTTCGACTTGTGGCTGAAAAATTTTAATAATATATATTTATTTAATATATATTTATTTATATTTATATATTTATATTTATATATCAATATTATTATTATTATAATTACCTTGATTCATAATTTTATAATTATTAACATTTTCACATAAAATACGTATAAACTCTATAACTTGGAATATCCTTTCGCACAAAACACTATCGATAAGAAAAAAGTTTTTGAAATTCGGGTCTTTTCTCGTTTTGAATGAATAATTTGATTGTAAATGCATTTTGATCGCACAGAAGATAACAATAATAGTCACAATAGTCAAAAATAAACAAGCTACAAAGTAAGCCTATAACGCTCAGATTAAAATTTGAAACCGTCAGACACCAATACATAGACAATAATACCAATTCTCGCAGTCACGAATCGACAGTCACAAACTGGTACAAACGCATCAAACCGAGCTGACCGAACGCGTAGATAAAAATCCACGACAGTTTGGGATTCAGTTTGGACACATCGAACGGTCAAAACGATCTGCGCATGCGTCTGACGGTTGTGTACTGTCGGCGACTGCACATCGAACAAACCCTAAATGTCAAAACAACGTGCTTTCCAAATATTTTTAGGTTAAGAAGAGTGCCAACATAAAAAAATATTGACAGCTGGCACGTGCTAAGCTTCTATACAGATAGTTTTAGGTTATGTGTGCTAATAGAACATAAACATATTTATTATTTATTGTATGGAATGGTTTAAAGAAATTTAACTGTTCAAAATGAATAATTTTGAAACCACTCCTGGGTTTTGCTCCGACTGTGGATCTATATTACCTTTATTGAAAAATTCTGGAAAAGTGACTTGTTATTTATGCAATCGGCAATATGGTTTAGAAGGCTAGTATTTCAATAATTAATGCTTTAAAATGTTTTTTCAAAATAATGATAGTTATGGTTTGTACTTGTCAAATTTTAGCTTTTGGTAATATGGAACTTTTCATGAATATCGAATTTAATTCATCTGATACTTACACTGGTTCAAAATCGAAAAAAGAGAGAAAAGCAAAAATTACTGAAAAAGAATCAGAAGGTCCTGTCATAGAAAGACGATGTCCAAAATGTGGCAATGATAAAATGTCTTATGCAACCTTACAGTTACGATCAGCAGACGAGGGTCAAACTGTATTTTATACATGCACTAATTGCAAGTAAGTATAATTTTTGTACAAAATATTATGTTTTGCTGATTACTTCATATATAACTGATCGTTTAATTTTTAAATATAATTGTGATATTATTAGATCAGATTACTTACAATTAGTGAACAGTCAAAATAATTTTATTTTTTACATATTTTCAATTGAATCTTTTTGTTCCAGATATAAAGAAACTGAAAATTCTTAAACGACTGATAGGCAATTTATGGTTTTGAGGAATACTTAGATTTATAAGCATCAGATATAGATAATACTTAACTTGTTAAGCTAATTGTTTGATAATATTCATTGACTTTGGTAATAAAAAAAAACATGATAAACTTGGATGGTATTGTATGCTATATGTACTTCGCGTCATCTCACTTTATTGAACTAAAATTTTAAGTAATGTTGCTTATATTATCAGTAAGAATCTGTTTATCTTTTTTTTACTATTTTTCTTGTTGGTTTTCTTGTCTTGGCTTGATGTAGTTGCTGCCAATCTTTGAGTTTATCAAGCATTCTTTATTGTATTTGTATTTTGATTTTTAAAAATTAATAACTTAATTTAATTTCATATTGTAAAATCATATAAATCTAAAATATCTAAATTTATATTTTATGTTAAAAAAATTCATGTGATAGAAAAGTTTATTTAAATAATATACCTAGTTTATCTAAATAATTATACCTAGGTGATAAGAAAAAAATGTATATAATATTTTTGAGAAATATTTCAGTGGTTAGTTAAATTTAACGTCGCCTTTAATTAAATTTAACGTCGCCAAAATTACAGAAGTTAAACATTGATTAATAAATAAATGTGCTGACCATAGTCGGTATGCATATGCATACTACCTTAATGCAATATGAGAATATAATTATGCGAATATTTTTTATACCGGAATGCTAAAATTAAAAGACTGGCTGAAAAACAGGTTCTCATATTTGTTCTGGTTCGGTTCGACTAAGGGTGAAGTTAAAAAAACTGCAAAAGATGAGAATTTTCAAGCAATGCACATTTCAGATGAAATTCTGTTCTGTTTTTTTGTAAATACCGTGGAGTATGGAAACCGTGTACCTCCGTGGGTGCCGTGTAAAGCGAGGGTCTACTTTACTCATAATTTCAAATTTGTTATTAATTTCGTTGAAAGGTTGGCAACCTTATATTTAACGTGCGCCCTCGGCCTAACAGTAAACACGTGAAGATGTCTGTCGTTAGTTTTGACAGTTGTGTTATAACCTATACTCACCTATACGTTTCTATAAACTCTGAATATTATTAGTACAATTACAAGGATTATACATGGCTGAAGCGAACGTTGTTGAGTTGAAGGAAAAAATAATTGATTTCGTTTCAAAACATGAGTGTATATATGATAGGTATCATATGCACTATAGAAATAGATTTATAAATGATCCTTTATGGAACAAAATATCTTCTGAATTGAATATTAGTAGTAAGTACCACAATTATTAAATAACAAACATTGTCAAAAACCTAACAAGTTTTCTTAAATTTAAGCCATGGCTGCAAGACAATACTGGAGAACTCTGAGAAGGGGTTACATCAATTACAGGAGAGCTCGAAAACAGAACTTACATATAGGAAAATATCCGTGGGCTGCTCATTTATCATTTCTAGATAAGACTTTAGATAGCATAGAACAGTTTAATGATTGTGCCAAAAAGCAAATATATTCAGATGTAGTTGATTCATTAATAACATCGTCCCAAACAGAACAAATCACACATACTACAAAACCTAGTTCCAAGCCAAATATAAATCACTCCAATACTTTTGATGAAATGTCAGATTTTTTCAAAGGAGTTGAATTGAATCATGAAGAAGTTATAAATAAACTTAGGAATAGTAACACACAAAAATTAGATAGTGTTGATTATTTATTTCTTAGTTATGCTCAAACTTTCAAACAATTTTCCTTGGAAAGACAAGCTACTCTCAAAGTAGATCTTGCTACATTATTTTCAGAAGCAGAATTATATGAAATAGATGAATCTAATAATGATTTGGAACTAGATGATCAGTTTGAAGTCATAGAAAATTAGACTCAGGTAATTAAGTAAGCTAAATTCTTTTTTTAAAATAGTTTAAATTAAGATTATTATTAGAACTTTTTAATTTATTTTCTCCTGGTATTTCTTTTTATTTAACTATATAAATGTAATTTGTAAATAATTATTCAAATGTTTTAGACAACAATGAATACAAAATAAATTTAGATATTTATAAATCATTTGTTCCATATTTTCTACTTACAGTAAAATAATAAATTATTTATCAACTTGTCGCATCACTGTAAATGCACTGTAAGCACCTCTTAATATCTGAAAAATATTTTAATGAAAACATACGTTCATAAAATAATTAGAATATCATGGGACATACTGTAATAAATGCTCGAAGATTCATTGGGTAAAAGCCGGCTTGAAAAACAAGTGGCTTCAGGCTTCGGGCCATTAGCAGACGCAATGCATTCTTAATTCTTTTGCTGCTATTTATCCATGGGGATTCAAATGCAGCTTGACACATATTAAGACTCTAGAATTAAATTTAATAAATAGAAATTTATACTTTAAATATTTGATTGATATACTTAACTACAGACATTAATTAAGAAAGTTGAAAGCAGTAACACAAATTAATCATTATTAATAATAATTATTAATTTTCATATTAATAAATAACATACAAAAAAAAAGTTGAGTTGTGCTTTGGAAAAAATTGAATAGTACTTCATGAGCAGAGTAAATTTACATTGAAGGTGTTTGAAAACAAATCAGTTACTGGAATTTTACAAATTGTGTGGTTTCCAATATTGTTATTATATTTATTTTTTAAAATTATGAGGAATGTACTTAATAATAACTATTAGTAAGGTTTTTATTTTAATACTTTACCTCTATTGATAGTTCATTAGAATGCCAATAATACATTAGTAATATAGTGCAAGCACTTCCGATGTATCCACAAATTATAACGAGTTCAAAACCATCTGAAGGAACCTAAATAATAAATAAACATACAAGAATTAAATCATTAGTTCAGTACGTAAAAAAAAACTATGTATGTTTTCTTACTGATGATAACTGGAACAGTTGCAGACAGATCAGAGCAGAGAACATTAAAAATCTAAAGCCATTGGCATTGCAAGCACGTTGCTTAAATCTTCAACATACCTGAATTAAAATTGAAAATACATATGAAAATGGATAAAATTGATTTTATACTATACTAAAGAAAAATAATAAATTTAAATTTGGTAGGTTTTTAATGTCCTTAGACTACTCGAGACGTTGTGCGTTTTTTATGGTATGAATACATTAAGGAAATCAACATGCTTTTACAGAAGATATTTCTTATAATTATATTTATGATAAATGGGAATTAGAACTGTTTTTATAGAAATATGTTTTAAATAAATGCTAAAGTAACATAACAGACATCGTACATACTTTATTATTATTAAGTGATCTTTCACACAATGTACCACAAATCTATACATCTCTTCTTCAGAAATATCTTTATATTTTTCAACTTCTTCCTTTGTTTCTGCCTCATATTTTGATCTTTCAACAAATTCTTGTGGATTTTTCAGCCTGTATTGCAATATGCGAATCATTGCACACGGGTATATCAGAAGGCAAGCCAAAAGTGTGTTCCAAAATGAATCGAACATAATTTCTAAATAAGCTATCACTTGGTAGAATAAATAAGTCGCAATTGTATGCTCATGTGTTTTGTATGGCAACCAGGAATCTATCGCTAAAGGGTGGATTTCCTCACCGGGTCTGAAAAATATCGGTTATATTTAAGAAACTATAAATCATATTAGTTGTAAGTGGCGTTTCGCCTCGATGCAAGTCACATGAACTTGCCGATATAAGTAAATAATCGACTTTATCAATATAAATCGAGATTTAGTTGAATTTTCCAAATATTTTGTCGAAAATGAAGTTTTTTTGCCTGAAAACTAATTATTGCGATTTCTATTTGATATCTTCAGACTGGTTTAAAATATCTGCATTGTATTAATTATACAACTCTAATACACGCTTAGAACATATACGGCGGTGTACGTCCTGAAAGTGCGGTCTATTATTACAAACTTCAATTAATTAATTTTTAATTCAACAATTTTTTTTAGGACTATGATATTTTAGATGTTAGTGATGCACACACGGCATCAAATAACCGACAATAACCGCTGAAATTGTTACACAAATAAAAATAAACGTTTGTATCGTAAATTTGGATTTATATAATTCAAAAAATTATATTCACCTATGGTTTGGATTAATTAAATGACAAAAATGAAATAAATTACTTACACTGCTGCTATGATGAAGGTGTAGAAAATATAGGCGGAAAATATGAAGAGAGTTATAGTCGTAAACACAAAAATTGTTGCAGTAACTTTATAAGAATGCCAGACATATTTATTTAATATCTTATTCACTTCATCGTTTCCACTTTTTTCAATTCTTTTCATGGATTCATGCATATCCGTCATGAGTCTAAAATACACTTTATTGTGCCAAATAAAAGTGGCCCCTTTTGCAACAAGGGTTGTGTTTAATACTGCCGTGCCGCAATTTAAAGAAATTAAATTCACGTCTTTTATATTGAAGAAAACAAACATATATTGGGTAATATTAAAAATGAAAAGATAAAAAACACTAAAAATTCCTTTGCAATATTCATAACGCAAGTATCTTTGATCATCAAAGTATACAAGACCAATCTGATTTAGTGCCATCAGATTGAACTTTAGCATACGGTTTTTTCGAATATCGTGATCCATTTTAATTTCATACAAATTACAATTATGTTCAAAGTTCAAAATATTTTCGAATAGTTTGAAGTATATATTTCTCGATTTTCTGTAAGTGAAGTAGTACGAGAAACTAAATCACGAGAATTTGGTGCAAGGAATTTGGTTGGGTGAAAGTATATATCATAAAAAATTCAAAAACGTGTCAAAGACTATTTTACGTGTCCAATTAAATTTTTATGTACAATCAACAAAGATACAAATTACTATGGTTAAAAATGCTTTGTTGTGAATATTGTATTTCTTTTTGTATCTATATAACAACTAATTATCGTATAATGTTTATTATTTAGGCCTATTCACAGTTTCTTAAATTGTAATGTAAGGATACATATCTATGAAATCTTACTATTATTTTTCTTTTTTATAAATTATTGAAATCTGTTATCAGCACCTTCTTTGATTTCATCTTTTTAGGTATCAGTAACATTGAATTAATTAATTAATCTTTAACAATTATTACTATTTATCAAATTGACGCATGACTGTGAATGCACTGTAAGCCGCTCGCAATATCTATAAAATTTGATTATGAATTAATTACTTAGGCTATTTAAAATAAATGGATAAAATGTAAAAAATATACCATTATGAATGCACTCAGATTCATAGGATAAAATCCAGCACGAAAAACGAGTGGTTTTTGGCATCTAACCATAATTAATCGCAATGCATCTTTTACTCGTTTGCTGGTATTTACCCATGAAGATTCATAAGCTGCCTGACACAAATTAGTACTCTGAAACATTGCATTTTATTTTATAAATTATGTTAATATCTTCTACTTCTGAAATATTTTACCTCTAACGAAATTTCATTCGAATGCCAATAATACATCAATAAAATTGTACACGAGCTTGCAATGTACCCGTAAACAACAATAAGTTCTATTGCACCAGTTGGAACCTGGAAATGTTATAATGTTATACAAACAATTATTAGTGAAATTCAATGACATCGACAGAAGAAACTAACTGATGACAGTTGGAATAGTTGAGAACAGATCAAAACTGTGAACACAATAAAATCTAATGCCATTGGAATTACTAATATATCTCTCAAGTCGTTCACAAATCTGAAAAAAAAGGATTTAGAGAATATCAATCACCGAATTTCTAGGCATCATTGTACATACTCGATAATAAGCAAATGATCCTTGACGCAGTTTAAAACATATTTGTACAAAGCTGGTTCTGGTATGCCATCATCTTGCTCTCCTGGTTTTTTAATAGCTACGAATTCTTCCGGATGACTTAATTTATAATTAAGAATACGAAGAGCAGCACATGCAAAAATTAAAATCGCTGCGAGTAAAGTATTCCAAAAAGAATCAAACATTATAACTAAATAAACAATCCACTGCACCATCAAATAAGCTATGACGTTATGTTCATCAGATCTGAATGGGAACCAGGAATCTATCGCCAATGGGTGGATAGTCACACCAGGTCTAAAATTTGAAAATAATAAATCAATGAAATTATGAAGAGTATATAATAAATAAAATATGAATATGTATAAATTACACTGATTCCACCAGAAATGTGTAGAAAAGATATGCAGAAAATATTATCAGGGATATCGTGGTGAAAACGAAGATTGCAACAGCTACTTCATAACAATGGAATACGTGTTTATCAAGAATTCGCTTTAATTGATCATGTTTACTATTTTCTACAAATTTCATTGCATTATGCATATCTGTCATCAATTTGAAATACTTTTTATTATGCCATATAAAAGTAGCGCCTTTCACAATCAGAGAAGAATAAAGCAAAGACGTAGCTAGATTCAAAGAAATCAAACTCACGTCATGGATATTTATGAAGACAAACATGTATTCGGTTATATTGAAAATAACAAATGAAAATACGCAAAAGACACCTTTCCAATATTCAAATTTAGGAAATCTTTGGTCATCGAAATATACCAAACCGATTTGATTCAGTGCCATAATGTTGAACTTAAGAAGACGATTTTTGCGAATGTCTCGATCCATATTGATGAAATTGGCTAAAATTCTTATAAATGGGACAAGATTTCTTTCTGCAAACGTGTGCTACTATTTTTTAAGTGTTGCACATTATTTATATTATAGCAAAATAAAAATAATATTCATAGCATTATAACAAAATTTTATTCCATAATGTTCTTGAATATGTTATTCAATATCATTTAGATGTAGCAATTTAATTTAAAAATAAAACACCATAATTTGAAAAAAAAATACGTAGAAGGTAAATTTTAATCGCGTTCTTATCTTTTTCTTGTTTATTCAAAATTTACAGCTTTATTAAAAGATAGGCTCAAGTATAACTCGAATAACGATGAGTTGACTTTAAGAACTAACGCAGCGGTTTTGGTTAATCCATTAAAAGAAATACCATTTATAATCTGGTTTTGAGAAGCTTCTAAAGCCAGGCCATAAAAAATTAAAGCAATCAAAATATTTCCATAGAAGGGTTCAATTAAGCATGATTACGCTAAACGATACAAACGCTGCAATTTGCATATCTGAAAAGGTATTACAGGATATATTTTTATAACATGTAACAATTAAATTAAGCAATTAGCTCTTCATTTCTTGATATGTTTTATTTTTGTAAAAATCTTCATAGAAAATTTTTTTTAGTAAGAAATGTTAATCCTAACTATCATAGACTAAATTACTTAAACATTAATTACGCCAAAATATTCGTTTGTGGCTTATCGCACTTTTAA